CATAATCAGCGTTGTTTACGTTCGAGGGCGAAAGCACGCCATAAACGTAATCTGCGTAATCAGCGTTGTTTACGTTCGAGGGCGAAAGCACGCACATAAACGTAATCTGCGTAATCAGCGTTGTTTACGTTCGAGGGCGAAAGCACACACATAAACGTAATCTGCGTAATCAGCGTTGTTTACGTTCGAGGGCGAAAAAAAAAAAAAAAAAACTTTAAAATTAAAATCAAAACAATATATAAAAACCTCATTTTAAATAATAACAAAAACACAATAGTATATCGGTGATACTAAATAACACCAGTGTTTACTACTGCAGCAATGAACACGACACAAGCTGAGTTGTCTGATTCGCCAACAAATGACTCTTACAAACTGTTCCTTTAAAGGAGTCGGTTAAAAAGATTCACAAAACTGCCTCAAAGTCATTTATGAGTCAGCTTTATGAATCAAACTACCTCACTTCCACAGTTCACAGACTCCTTTAATGAATCGTCAGTAATTTATGATTTATGTTTGATTCTTAAAGGGTTAGTTCACCCAAAATGAAAATTCTGTCATTAATTACTCACCCTCATGTCATTCCAAACCCGTATGACCTCCATTCATCTTCAAAACACAAATTAAGATATTTTTGATGAATTCTGAGAGCTCTCTGACCCTCCCATAGACAGCAATGTAATTACCACGATCAAGGTCCAGAAACGTAGTAAGGACATCGGTACAATAATCCATGTGACATTGGGTTCAACTGTAATTTTATGAAGCGAGGAGAATACTTTTTGTACGCAAAGAAAACAAAAATAACGACTTTATTCAACAATTCGTCTCCCTGGTGCCATTTTGGAGAGTATCCACTGTACGTAAACAGTGTATGCTGTTCTGTGTCTGATGAGTAATTAATGACAGAATTTTCATTTTTGGGTGAACTAACCCTTTAATGAATCAGGAACCATTACTGTATGTTCAGTTCATGAGATTAAAAATCATGAATGAGCAAAAAAAAAAAAAACACTTTGGGAGCATCATCATTTTTTTCTGGAGCCCTGGACTATTAAAAGGGGCCATTTACACAGAACACTTGTTTGCATTTAAAAACGCCAGATGCAGGGCACTGGATTGAAAAATGACGCAAGGTCTAGAGATGCATTTTTTAAACGATCAGTGTCAGGCGCAAGTGCAGCTGTCAAACACGAGGTGCGAGGTGGTGATTTCATATGAATTTGTATGATGTAATGTATGATTTTTACAAAAGAGTAAGCTGGAAAGTCCATCCCGAAACATAGCCATCATAAACCGTTTGTTGTATTATTCACCCAATCATTTCATTATTTACTCATGTTTTAATCTAATGTGTTACCTCTCACCTTATAGATACAGTTGGGCTGGATCACCTCTATTTATAACAGAGCCTCCTTCCAGTGTTAGTCAGACGGTGCTGTGCTGCGCTCACTGCGGCAGCCCGAGAGTTTTCGAATTTCAGCTCATGCCAGCATTGGTCAGTTTGCTCAGTAGTGCGGACACAAATTCAGGTAAGTACAGATGTTCTAAAATATACGTAATACCAATTATTTATTTATTACAAATGTATTTTCACATAAAAAATGTGGGAAGAATTGGAACTCAAAGCAGTATTTCATCTCCATTTACTGATTTATTATGGTAAGCAGTTGTAAAATATTGTGCAATGTACAATTATTAATAATTATCTCAAAATAACCCTCTGATCCTGCATCGTGTCAGGATATATTTTGTGACAATGAAAGGCTGACTACATTATATCTTACTTATTATATTTCTTTTAATGTTAATAGTAAACTATTTGTTTTGTTTTCTCAGACATTTCGCTGGAGTTCGGAACAGTTCTTGTGTACACTTGCAGAAACAGCTGTTGGAAATCTGGATCAACAGTTCCAGTGGAAGAATTTCTTGTTGTCCAGCCCGACCCAGACCAAAAGCTCTTCAAATTATATAATTTATCAACAATAAAGATCATTTTTTTCAGTACAACTTCATTTTGTTATTTATTTAATAATAGTTATTATTTAATATAATGTTTTATTTATTATCTAAAGGAGTATAAAAATTAAAATTTGCTGAAAATGTACTCACCCTCATCCAAGATGTAGATGAGTTTGTTTCTTCATCTGAGAAATGTAGCATTGCATCACTTGCTCAGCAATGGATGCTCTGCAGTGAATGGGTGCCGTCAGAATGAGAGTCCAAACAGCTAATAAAAACATCACAATAATCCACAAGTAATCCACACCACTCCAGTCCATCAGTTAACATCTTGTGAAGCAAAAAACTGCACGTTTGTAAGAAACATCTTGGATGCTCTGAGGGTGAGTACATTTCAAGCTAATTTTAAGTTTTGAGTGAACTTTTCCTTTAAGTTTGAAGGGATCTGAGAAAACTTAATTCTGAAATTATTTGTCAGCAATCTAATTTGAAATATTCTGAATGATTACCATATTCATGCACAAAGACGAGTGATAATTAAGAATAGATAAGATGGATAAATGTGTATATATGCTTTGAATGAAAGTAAAAACTACGGCAAGACATTGTTAAGAATGAACATATATGATGTACATGTGTTAAGAATAAAAACGGGTATTTGCATTGTACATGTGCAAAAAGTCACGGTACATGTACAGTGGTGGCCAAAATTATTAGAACACTAGTATTTTCAGCAGCTAAAAATGGTTTTAAGTCAGTTATTCCTATCTTTTGCTGTAGAGTGTCAGTAGGAAATAGCAGTTTACATTTCCAAACATTCATTTTGCCATTAATTGTAAAAATCCAGTGAGATTTTTGTTTGCTCCACACAGAGATCTGATCTGATCATCATCAGTCTGTCTGAGATTACATGAAGAAACAGAACAAACTGAGACAGACTCAATCCAGAAGAACTGTGGCAACGTCTCCACGATGCTTCAAGAGACCTACCTGCAAAGCTACAGTGCTGTTAAAAGTTTTAGGCACTTGTGTAAAAATGCTGTAAAATGGATGCTGTCAAAAATAATGTCATAAATAGATTTTCTTTATCAATTAACTTCTATCAACTAAATTAAATCAACATTTGGTGTGAGCATCCTTTAAAGCAGCTTTTGCCCTCGGTGCACTTGCGCGTAGTTTTTCAGGGAGCTTTGCAGGTAGGTTTCTTGAAGCATCTTGGAGACGTTGCCACAGTTCTTCTGGATTGAGTCTGTCTCAGTTTGTTCTGTTTCTTCATGTAATCTCAGACAGACTGGATGATTTTAATCAGATCAGATCTCTGTGTGGAGCACTGGCTGCTGCCAAGACAAAAATCTCACTGGATTATTACCGTAATGGCTAAATGAATGTTTGGAAATGTAAACTGCTATTTCCTACTGACACTCTACAGCAAAAGATAGAAATAACTGACTTAAAACCATTTTAGCTGCTGAAAATACTACACTCTAAAAAATGCTGGGTTAAATACAACCCAGTGCTGGGCAAAATATGGACAAACCCAGCAATTGGGTTGTTTTGACCCAGCAGATGGGTTAAATGTTTAACCCAACCTTCTGGGTAGTAACCCAACCGCTGGGGCAAAACAACCCAATTGCTGGGTTTGTCCCTATTTTACCCAGCACTGGGTTGTATTTAACCCAGCATTTTTACCCAGCACTGGGTTGTATTTAACTCAGCATTTTTACCCAGTATTTAACCCAGGATTTTTACCCAGCACTGGGTTGTATTTAACCCAGCATTTTTACCCAGCACTGGGTTGTATTTAACCCAGCATTTTTACCCAGCACTGGGTTGTATTTAACCCAGCATTTTTACCCAGCACTGGGTTGTATTTAACCCAGCATTTTTACCCAGCACTGGGTTGTATTTAACCCAGCATTTTTACCCAGCACTGGGTTGTATTTAACCCAGCATTTTTACCCAGCACTGGGTTGTATTTAACCCAGCATTTTTACCCAGCACTGGGTTGTATTTAACCCAGCATTTTTACCCAGCACTGGGTTGTATTTAACCCAGCATTTTTACCCAGCACTGGGTTGTATTTAACCCAGCATTTTTACCCAGCACTGGGTTGTATTTAACCCAGCATTTTTACCCAGCACTGGGTTGTATTTAACCCAGCATTTTTACCCAGCACTGGGTTGTATTTAACCCAGCATTTTTACCCAGCACTGGGTTGTATTTAACCCAGCATTTTTACCCAGCACTGGGTTGTATTTAACCCAGCATTTTTAAGAGTGTAGTGTTCTAATAAATTTGGCCACCACTGTAAATAACACGGTTTTGTCGATTTCTCTCAGAATATTTTTTTTTATTGCTTTTATATTTACATAACAAAATTCAACAACACTAACATGCTATGTTAACACAAACTTACAACAAACACATAATACATTCACAATCAACCAGAAAAGGTAAATAAAATAAAAAAAATATGTTTATATGCACAGTATACATATACACATACCAATTTCACAGTTCTAATTTATACATATATATATTTATATGTAAAGTTTAAGGCCTCCTAGTACAAGACAATTTCAACATTTCTTTTATTATATGTCTTCAAATACATCTCCATTATTTTCTCCTTCCAAGAAAATCATAAAGGGTTTCCAAGCATCCTCAAAAGCCTTATGTCTGCCCTTAATTAAGTTTCTCCAATGACATGTTTGTTGCCAACTCCTTTAACCATCTCCCTATACTTGGTGCCTCTACCTTTTTCCAGTGAAGAGCTGAGACGTTTAGCTTGTACACATATAAACACAAATATGTTCTCTTCTCCTCTCTCTCAGAATATTTACATAATTTTCGCGCAAATTCCTATGCTCAAAAAAAGCTAAAGAGAGAGAGAGAGAGATAATAAACTTGAAAACTTTAAAACACTCTTTCTCGATCGTTTCGCTCAGGTTGGTTCTTCCTCGAACAGCTGCGCGGGACTGAACACTGCCGCACTCTGTGCGCATGCGCAGTGAGAGCAGCGAGCGGCGCTCAACGCTGAATGCTCAGGCTTTCTCTCGCGAGGAAGGACGCCATTATCGGAATCCTCACAAACAACACGAGAATTCATCATTCACACGGTAATATAACCGCTTCTGACAGGCGACACCTCCCGCTCTCCGCGCGCTGCGGAAATATGGCGCTGTGCGTTAAAGAAACACACTTTATACTGCTGTTTTCGTCTCAGCTGTGTCTTGCGTGCCATGAAGGGCACAAATGAGGCCTATTGCATTTCCCTGCTGCTGTTTTGAGCTGTTGGTTAGCAGGCGCCAGCTAACAGGCTACATTAGCAAGCTAGCTGCAGTTTGCTAACTGGACTGAAGCACTGGGTTTATTATTAAACTCTTACAAGACTGGCGGCGTTTAAAGAGTGTTTTGTGTTTTCTGAAACCGGGAAGCGTCGGTATTTTTGGATTGTCCAAACATTGAGTGCTTAATAGAGTTGAACGAAATTAGGTTTTGTAACCTAACGTTAGTTATAATCTCACTCAGCAGCAGCACTTCATATTCACTGTTAGAAACGTGCATGTCCTTCTTAAAAGTAACGTTACTACGGTATGGATATATTTTAGGGCATGTAACGTTACTATGGTAATAGTACCGTAATAATACCGACATTTTTTCCATACCTTGGTGAACTGTGTAAATATTATTTAAGATTGAAATCTTGTGTTTTGGGTCTTACAAGGGTAACGTTAAATAAAGAACTGGCGCCGGTTGCAGACTGGTCATAACTTTTAATATTCAGTTATGAAAAGGTAGACTGGTTTTATTTGTATTGGAAAAGTAAGACCGATAACCACTTGGCAACTGCTAGTAAGTGTTGTATAGTGTTTTCTTTACTAAACTATCTAATTTTATGTATTTGAGGTCTGAGATGTGGGAACAGGGAAGAGAGAGAGGGCAAACATTTTGCATTTTAGGTCTAATCAGCCAGTATTGTCTTAAATAGTTTAAATTTGTTAATATTTTTGACCAAATATATTCAATCTTGATTTTTGTCAAATGTTGCAACAAGAAGTTTTTTTGTGTGTGTGAAAAATTACAGTTTTGGACATATAAGGTAATAAAAAATATATTTTTTAAATACCTTAAAGTAACTACAAATGAGCATGTAAAACAAATATCTTAAAGAAAATCCATTCCATTATGAAACCAAATGTGTACCAGGCACTAATTTGTGATATTTAATTAATATAATAATGGTTGTAACAATTTAATAAATAATAATTATTCTTAAATAGTGTATTTATTAATTTTAGTTATTTATTTCAATTTAATATGTATTATATTTTTTTTCCAGTTTATCTTCAAAAAAATTGCAATTCATTTTATTTGTGATGGACAAAATAATGGACAGAAGAAGTGTAGGGTCACCTTCAGTACCACATCCTCCCTTCAGGGGCTCTCCGCTGCCGGTTAGGCAGCTTTTTTTGGTTTGGCAAGGACACAACGGTGCCTGCATGTAAAAATCACACATTTACCTTGTGGTGGCTTATAATATAAATATTACAATATTAAAAACACTTTCCATGAAAATGAAGGAAATGAATGAAAATTGTTAATCCTTTCCAAAATAATGAAAATAAAATAAAAAATAGCAAATCATTCATATAACATTGATATCAGTGTTAATTTAATCATTGAGATATCATTAATTTATATGTGACCCTGGACCACAAAACCAGTCATAAGGGTCAATTTTTTGAAATTGAGATTTATACATCATCTGAGAGCTGAGTAAATAAGCTTTCTATTGATGTATGGTTTGTTAGGATAGGACAATATTTGAAAATCTGGAATCTGAGGGTGCAAAAAAATCTAAATACTGATAAAATCGCCTTTAAAGTTGTCCAAATGAAGTCCTTAGCAATGCACATTACTAATCTAAAATGAAATTTTGATATATTTACGGTAGGAAATGTACAAAATATCTTCATGGAACATGATCTTTACTTAATATCCTAATGATTTTTGGCATAAAAGAAAAATCGATAATTTTGACCCATACAATGTATTGTTAGTTATTGCGACAAATATCCCCCAGCGACTTAAGACTGGTTTTGTGCTCCAGGGTCACATATATTTATATATATATATATATATATATATCTCATATTTTGAAGTCGTTTCTCTTTTTGTATTTTCTGATTTCATTTAAATTTTAGGTAAAGGTTTTAGTAAAAAAAAATATCTGTTTTTGTCATTTTTATTTATTTAGAAAGATAGATAAATGTTTATGTAGTTTTTAATTCATTTTTATTTCAGCTTTAGTTTTAATTATTTAAACTAAATGAAAATGAGAAATGTCGCTTTGGCAGTTTATTTATTTTATTTTATTTCAGTTCATTTGTTTTATTTATTTATTTAGTCATTTAGCAGATGCTTTTATCCAAAGCGACTTACAAATGAGGACAATAAAAGCAGTCATAGAAAGCTCGTTTTTTTTTTGTTTTTTTTATAAAAATAAAAAAGAAGATAAATATAGATAAAGTAGAATTAAAATAGAATAGAAAGTGCTAGAGTTAGAGGGTCAAATAAAGGTGGAACAGATGTGTTTTTAGTCGTTTCTTGAAGATGGTTAAGGACTCAGCTGCTTGGATTGATTTGGGCAGGTCATTCCACCAGGAGGGAACAGTTAATGAAAAAGTCTGTGAAAGTGATTTTGTGCCTCTTTGAGATGAACAATAATACGCCGTTCACTTGCAGAACGCAAGCTTCTAGAGGGCACATAACTCTGAAGTAATGAATTTAGGTAAATGGGTGCAGAGCCAGTGGTGGTTTTGTAGGCAAACATTAATGCCTTGAATTTAATGCGAGCAGCTACTGGTAGCCAGTGCAAATTGATGAACAGAGGTGTGACGTGTTCTTTTCGGCTCATTAAAGATTAATCTTGCAGTGGCATTTTGGATTAATTGTAGAGGTTTGATAGAAGTGGCTGGAAGACCTGCCAAGAGAGCATTGCAATAGTCCAGCCTGGACAGAACAAGAGCTTGAACAAGGAGTTGTGTTGCATGTTCTGAAAGAAAGGGCCTGATCTTCTGATCTGTTTTGAGTAATGGAAATGTTTTCTTTTTATGGTTTTAGTTGACTGTAATAACCTTGATTGATACGACACAAGCAGTGATTTATCAGTGACATCTTTCTCAGACGCAGGTTTGAATGATGGCAGAGCAAGATTTGGTGGAGATCGTTCAGATCGCAGTGGCAGATTTGAATCATGAAGGACATCAAACAGGTCAGTCCTCCTCTGAATCAGTAAAAAACTGCAGGTAGTCTTTGTGGTTTTCTACAGTGTTTTTTTTTTCCATTAAACTAGATGTCCTGGAGAATAATGAAGACGCTGATCCACCAGGCAGGAAACGAGCAAGGTTGGACATTAGCCAAGAAACCTCTATTAAGGTTATTAGAGATGATCTGTTAATCTGGTACAGAATATAAGTGGCTTGTATCAGCGAGCACGTTGGCTATAATCATGTTTTATTGCTGTGTTTCTCTCTCAGTCGATGCTGGTGTCCATCAGTCAGGCTGTCTGCCAGCGGCTGGACAGCATGGAGGCCAAGCTGCAGGTGCTTGAGGCCACCTGTCGAGGTTTAGTCGAGAAGCTGGACACAGTGATGGGGAAAAACCAGTCGACCATCCAGGTCCCCATGGTGTCAGGCTCCCCGTTTGGAGCCACTCAGACCTGCGACAAAGTACGCTGGTAAGGGGACCACAGATGATGCCCGGATGTTTTATTCGACCGCGCCTGGGCTTGTTTTGTCTTTTATTGAAGATGCTTCATCATTAATTCAAACCTGATCACAGCATCTTGAGATTGATTTTACATACTGATGAATTCACTTTATGGTAAATCGTCTTTGAAAAAGGGGAAAATCATGTCCAGTTGGCCTTTATTTGGGAATATCTGAAGATCTGCATGACTGCAAACCTTCATGTAGACTTGTCAACTAACATCACCTTCCCATGAGCCACCGACACCATTTAAAACAATAGCACGTGTTTTATTTAGCTGTGCTTCTCATCTGATTCTGGACCTAGACTAAAAATTAGTTATCGTGTAGAAATAATCAAAATGATTAATGTATTAATATTTATAAATATTAACAATTAATTAATACATATATATTTTTGGGGCGTATTTATTAATTTTAAGGCCTAAAAATCTTTTTGATAAACATTTAGTAAATATTTTTAATATTCATTATTTTTTTATGATTATATATATATATATATATATATATATTTTTTTTTTTTCCCCAATCATTCTTTTTTTTATCTTGTGGGGGTTTAAAATATACAATATTACACTTTCCTTGGAAATGGAATGATTATTTGAAAATGTTTACAAAATAATCATGGCAAATTAGAAAAAGTTATAGGATAAAATAAAAGTTAAGTCTCAATATCAAATGAGAATGCTGTGAATTTATGCCACTATTATGCCTTTAACATCAACAACAAAAGTTATGGGAAGTTTTTTCTACTCCTTATTGAAGTTAATAAGCAAATTTATTTTTCCGTCCTAACTATACACAGTTATATGGTGCATTTTATTATGCAATTGTATTATTTATTATTAGATGTTTAGTCCGATACTGATAAAAAAAAACCTGATAATTTCTTTCTTATTATGCTGGACACTCAAAAGCTGGCTGGTATTAAAATTCAATACTATTTTGACTAAATAAATAAAAAACTAAAAAATAAAATCCTCTTAAATTCTGTAAATGAATTTAGGAATCGTAACAATCATTATTTTGAGATTTGCATTTAACACTGTTACTAAATTATTATTATTAGTAGTATTTTTATTATGTTTTTGTAAGCTTGACTTTGAGTGTTGGATGATGATAAAAGTAATCTAAAGTAAATTATCTGCACGATTAAATATTTAATAAATATTAAAGCTATGGTATCGGTATATATTGAGCATCCCTATTTATTATTATTAGAACAGGCTTTTTTGTGTTGCGACCCACCATTTGAGAACCAGCAGTGATATTGACAGTGTGAGACGGTAACAGTGAGTGTTTTCTGTCAGTGTTGTTCCTCATACAAACGTTATAGTGAGTGGAGACCGGCCGAAGACGCGGGAGGAAACTTCACCGCTCGCCTCAGACTCTTTAGAGAACCTGCTCAGCAAGTGAGTGCCACAGACTGTGCTTTTGTGCATTAAAGAAATAAAAATATCCCCTGTGTTTGCATGGTGTATTTAAATATATACAGGAGACAGTTTCTGGATCTGTTGCACAAGCTCTCCATAACATCTCTCGGTGTAATTTATGTTATGTTTTCTTTGCAGTACTGTTGGGCGAGGAAGACAGAAGACGATATTGCTGAAGGTTCCCATCCAGGAAGAGGTTCAGGAGGATCAGGAAAGTGGCTCTGAAACGAGCGATTCAGTGTCCAACAGCGGCCAGCCTTTATCTCAGAATACCAACAACGTAACACTCATCACGCTCAACTCAGAGGGTAAGATTCACAAGAGGATTATGCTTTGTCTTAAAATTTCCCTGATGATAATTACAGTCACATATGCATTTATTTGTGCACAAAAATCCCTTTAATACAGCAAGCTTTGATAGGACATAAAGGACCTTTTTTAACATAGTCAATGGACCCTTGTCACATTTCCGGTTCTCAGAAGCATAAGCGTTTCCATTTGCTCTAATAGCAATAAATAAATCCAAGATATTTATGTATGATAATTGATATTTACATTTATTGATATTCACATTTGCAAAGGGCAACTCAAACAAGACCAAGTCCTATCTAAATGAATGAGGGAATCCTGAAATCTCAAAAACTGCTTGCTGAACTCTCGATTAAATTACTTATTTCAAATCAGCAACAAAATCTGAAATTAACTGCCCCATGAATGTTGTTTCTTATGCTCAAATAGCGTTTAAAAAGCTTATTTTTCAGGCTAGACCAGCCAGTGCGCATACGTAGTTATAACGCGCTTATATCATTGGCTGCTCTAGCACATAGACTGTATAAAAACATGGACGTAGTGTCCGTGACGTCACCCGTAGTTTTCTGAAGAGAGTTTTTTAAACTCAAAGTGGGCGGAGCAGGCCGTCGCCATCTTGGCAGCGCGTCACCACGCGTCACTCCCGGATAATCGAAAATGGGCAAAAAGGCGGGACGTGAGTGAAGCTGAGGTGCCTGGTTGCTGAAACCACGCCCGTCTATAGTGACAGCAGTGCTGCCGTGCAAAGACAAAACACCATAACTTCGTTTTTGGTCGAAAATTAGTTATTGATAATTTTGGGACATTCATGACCTTCTTTATCATGTGTATAAGTATCTTGGAGAAAAGCCCCGGAGAAACCAAGGCAAAACACAGTATAACATCAGTTACCGCTCTTTGACTTTTTTGGAACGCTCAAATTAAGTTCTGCATTTGTTTAGCCGTTCTTCAATATTACTGTGCCCCCCTGGAGGTATACAGTATTCTGCCGTTGTTTTACTGTCCATTAAAGTCTGCATAAAATTAGCCCATAAATTACTCACACTCAAGTTTGTTTTGTTTTAAGTCACTTCCATGTTGGCTTCACGAGAGAGAGCGGGAGTTTGCCACTTGCTCTAGCCTCTGGTTTCTATGGGAACTGGAGCTTCTAACGACTGCTGCAGTGACACAGTGACTTTACCAATCAGCGATTGGCTCTTTCATTTAGAAGGCGGGACTATCCCGCCATATTTTGCCT